TTAAAAGGATAGATGTTTTTCTTATCTCTAAAAGTCAGTTTATAACTGCCATTCTCACAAATCAGAAGACTTTATTCAATAATAGAACTGTAATTTTCAAGTAAAATTAAAAAAAAAAATTCTTCAAAAAAAATATATATGGAATCTATATGTTTAAAAATATCTTTGAAAAAAAAAATCTGAGGAATCTTTGACAATAATGTATCTTTGAAAAATATATTTATATTATTATATTATATAAAAAAAAAAAAAGTACTCCAAAAGATCCTCTATATATATATATATATTTAAAAGTGACATTATCAGAAAAGTCTCAAATATTGACAGAATTTATCGACGAAAATTAATTCGTTGAAAATAGTGACGAAATTTTTGACAAATAGCACATTACGTCGAAAATAGAGACGAAAGAATATTTTGCCATAATCACTGACATAATTTTTTAAGAAAAAAATAAGTTAAGATTCTTGATAGAATCAAAATTTCATTGAAACTTTCAACAGAAACATTTCCGTCAAAATTTTTTGACAAAAAACAATTCCGTAAAAAAATGTCGAAAATATTTCAGTCAAACTCTTTTACAAAAAAAATTTCCGACAAAAATTTTCAACGAAATTGTAAAAAATTCTTATAGAAAATTTTTTTGTCAAAATTCTTCACAAAATCTAAATTCCGTCAAAATAGTTGACAAAAAAAACATTTTCGTTGAAATTTTCGACGAAGAATATTTTCCTCTAAATTTTTAACGAAACACATTTCCATTGAAAAATTTTCGTAAAAAGTTTTGACGGAAAACATTTCTGGTAAAATTTTTGACGAAGAAAAATTCGTCAAAATTCTTTACAGAATCCAAATTCAGTAAAAAAAAAAAAGTTTTGATAACATTATTTTCGTCATACTCTTTAACAAAAAAAACTTCGGTCGAAATTTTCCACAAAACACATTTCCATCGAAAAAAATTGACGGAAAATATTTTCGATAAAAAATATTTCTATTAAAATTTTCAACAGAACACATTTTCGTCAACAAATTTCGACGGAAATTACTTTCGTAAAAAAATTCGACGAAAAACATTTCTGTAGAAAAATATTGAGACATATTTTCAATAAAAAAGCATTTCCCTCAAATTTTGAAAAAATATTTCTGTTAAAGTTTCATTGAGACACATTTTCATCGAACATTTTGGACGCAAAATGTTTCGTTAAAATTTTTGTAGGAATTCTTTTTTTCGTCAAAACTTTTGATGGAATTTTTTTGTCGAAAATATTTAACAAATTATTTTTGTCAAAACTTTTGACGAAAACTAAATTCCGTAAAAATTTTGACTAAAAATTTATTTTTGTAAAATATTTCATCGGATAAAAATTCCATCACCTTCGATGAAAAGTTTTCCGACGGAAAAATATTTTTTTGACAGAATTTTTGTCATTTTCAACGTAGAATTTTCATTGAAAATATGATCTTTTTTTGTAGTGTGAAAAATACTTAAATAATTTTGTTTAGCAATTTTAAATTTAATTTTATTTGTAAAATATAATAATTATATTAATTTAAAAAAAAAAAAAAAAAGAGATAAAATTGTAAAAATATCTTATTGACCCTCCAATTTCTCCCTTACCATTATTTTATCTCCCAAACAAGGTAAGGGAATACCCTCCATTTTTCTTCCCTTCCTTCCCCTCCCTCCTCTTTGGATCCTCTTTCTTCCCTTTCCCTCCAAACTCCCAAACAAAGCCTTAGAGTTCAACCCTATGTACATGCATATGACATGTCTTATATAGTTAGTGTAGAGTATAGTAGATATAATGAATCCTGACAATTAGGGTTATACCGTGATTGGTGATGTTATGTCGTGTTTCGAGATGAGATCTGGATTTTAGGGGTTTAAACATTATGCATTTAATTAGGAGTGGCAATTTTTAACACAACCAACTGACACGACATGAAAAATTGATGTTCAGGTTGACCCATTTTCAAATTCGTGTTGTGATCAGGTTGGCAAAAACTGACTCGAAAAAATTCATGTTGTGTCGCGTGTTAACCCGCGAACATGAAATTGACCTGCATTAATTTCTTACAGATTATTCGTGTCTTATTGTGTTGTGTCGACTTCCACAACAAGTAACACAATTTGTGGTTGACAGCATAGTTATTAAAACCGGACCGACCCGGCCGGGTTGACCCGGGAACCGGTAAACCGGTTATATAACCGGTCCGGTTGAAGCAACGGACCGGCCATGCATCAGAACCGGAGCGATTCGGTCCGACCCGGCCGGTTTTCATAAAAATCGTTGACCCGGTCGATTAACCGGTGGGTGACCCGGCCCGGTCCCAAAAAAAAAATCCAAATTTTTTTTTTCAAAAATAATCATAATGGACATATTTGAATATTTTTTTGATTATTGACTTACATAAGTTATGTACCTACAACACTAATATTATCTCAATTATGTATTATGCAAAAAAATTTGAATTAATTTATAGTTAGACATGTCGTTTTCTGAACCTAAAGCCCTGTATCACGATCATTATATTTTTGTTTGATCTTTTATTGGATAATAATATGTGATATATTATTGTTTATATAAAAATATTATTATCCTTTTTTAGATATTTGTGTATATTTATAATTTTTTAATATAAATTATAAAATTTCATATAATTACCGTGTCATGCGATTGAACCAGTGACCCACTCGTTGACCCAGTACCTCGACCGGGTCAATAACCGGGCCGGTTTTAATAACATTGGTTGACAGGTTATTCGTGTCATGTTGCGGGTTATTAGTGTCATATCAAGTTAAACCGCAAAATAAGCAGGTCGTATTCGTGTCAAAAGTTATAACCCGATTTCAAATTCGTGTTACGTTCGTATTGAATGTATTTGTGTTCATGGCGTGTCAACCCAAATTGCCACCTCTAGAACTTAATGTTCTATGAAAGATGTTTTTAATGAGAGAAATTTTTATTAGATTAACGTGACGACATGTTAATATTTTGAGAATCAAATTATTGGTTTACTAAAATGAAAACCAACAACGATAAAAACATTTCTGATGGTGAAAAAGTTTTCCTCTTGTGCAATTAATTATATATAATTGTGTATTATGGGTAGTACATATTAATAATATTAAAATTATTTTTTTTAATACCACGTCAACCGACAGCTTTATGAGGGGAGAAAATAAAAGCTTTTAAAATTATAACTGTGTTCCGTCCAGAATACAAAGTTATAATTAGTTGTTACAAAAAAATTTCCCTTACAACAATATCAGAAGTGATTTTGCCATATAATTAAGCACCTAGAAATGATTATTTTATGTTAAATTTTATACAAATGATAATATCTTAATTTAATATATTAAAAGACACGACACGATTTCCATATAGGATGACCATTCATTTCTAAAAACGTAAAAAATAAGCATATTTTGCAAGTTAAAATAAAGTAACACTTATTTCTTATTCCTCTTCGTTAGTAATGATTTTGATTTCTATCCACCAAAAAAAAAAAAAAATTGATTTTGATTTCTATAAATGTTACGCGCCAAATCAAGTTGTGTTGGCTTCTATACATGATCATTAGTGCTAATTGGTTTCTTCATCCTGTGTTGTGCTGTTAATATTGTCTAAATCAACGCTTCGGTAATTGTCAAGTAAAATGTGTTGCAACTTCTTACATGGAGTGTTACCGCTTGCTTGTGCAAGAACGTACCGAAAAAAAAAAAAAAAAAGGGGGCAAGAGAGTGGCACAATATTATTCTTTTATTAAACTCACAGAAACAATGTATACTATACGAAAATTAAAATCCAATTAATAGAACAGCTACATAAATATATATAACCCACGTGCATTTTATTAATTTTATGATAGTAATCATGTGGAGGCATAAGGCAATCAAATAACACTGAATTATCCCGTACTCGGATTAGTTGTTGTTGTACCATAATTGCTTCTCAAGTTTGTCAATTACGCTCTTGTCAACCTGAAAAGCTTTGGTGAGAACATCCGGAGAAATTGGAGGATTAGCGCCAAACACATTATTTGCAATTATGGTAAGTCCTGGGTTTTGACTGCTGAGACCAGAAATGGCAATAGCATTGCCATAACCCACGTTAAGTTGGAAATGAATGAGACCAATTGGGAACACAAACACATCACCCTTGTTCAAAACCTTGGTGAATAGACGATTGTTTTCTTGATTGGATGATACAAATCCAACCAAAATAGTACCTTCAATAACTATAAGGATCTCTGTGCCTCGTGGATGAATATGGGGAGGGTTCAAACCCTTGGGGGCAAAATCTATGCGAGCTAAGGATATGCCAAGTGTGTTAAGTCCAACTAATTCATTAACAGTCACAGTAGTCACTTTTGAGCCAAGTGGGTTTTTGGTATTCCCAGGATTCACGTGCAAGAAGAAATCTTCAGCTTTCACAAGATTAGGGTCTTTGCAGAATTTTTCATTCACAAATACTGCAATTAAGTAGACAAAGTTTATATATATAATTATTAAAAAAAAGCTAATTATAAAGATTTTTTACATACGTGATCTAAATGAAGTAGAAATTTAAAATTCGAGTATTAAGACTTATGGGGAATATTGTATATACGTACCACCATTTTTGGTGTCATTGATTGCCACACAGAAATCTTGCAGAGGGCTGGGGTCATAGGCAGAGGCAACAGAGGATGTCAAAGCCAACAAGGCAACGAGGAAGTAGATTGCTTTCATTTTGTTTCTTACTACTACTCTTAAATGATTCTATTCTATGTATATGTAATTGCTTGAGAGAATTTGAATTTGTTGCATGGAAAGCTTCCTATTTATAGGGAGGAGCCGTTGAAATGGTTTGCAGTTAATCCTTACGGCAATTAATTGTGTATTTCATGGAAGAACCATTCTTTAACAACTACATGCGTGCTGGTTCAGATATTAAATTAGACTAAGAAAATGTTCCACATTAACGGCAAGACGCATGTTTTTAGTATTACCTCGTCAACTGGCAGTGTATAGAGTATTTCTACCTGAATATTACTTTAATAATGCATTGAGCGGGAAATTAAATTGAAGTTTTAGAATTGTTAGTTTTAAGACTCGGTCTCTGTTACTGAGCCCTGGTCGGTGGCTTTTACTGGGCATTTTTAGACCTGGTGCAACATATTATTTCTTTCTTGTTTTCTAAACTTCAAATTTTGCCAGTGCATGTCTCCGTTTAAAGTGTAAACACCATCGTCAGGAGCAGCTAGGGGAAGAAAGGAAAATTTGTAGGGAATTAAATTGGGTCAAACATGTGCTTTAGTTAATTCCTATAATAAATAAATAAATATAATTTTAAAAATACCCTTCATTAATTTCTCTAATTTCCAAAATGACATAGTTTTGGAGTGACATGACAAACAATATATATATATATATATATATATATATATATATATATATATATCAACGTTTTCAGGAAATATAATTATCTCCTGCAGCCCCAAAACGATATAGTTTTAAGGTTAAAGATTAAAATAAAAGGCATTTTAGTAAAATTAAAGATTTAAAGAGGAATTTAAAATTTTTCATCTTTATGTCTTGCAGCCCCAAAGCGACATAGTTTTCAGGTTACATATTAAAAATGAAGGAAATTTTAGTAAAATTCATGATTTAAAGAGAAATCTAAAATTTTCAAAATGCCTTTTATTTTTAATTCTAAACCCCAAAACAACATCATTTTTAATTTTATCTTTTGTGATAAGAGAAATATTTTTCATATATATATATGTGTGTGGGGGGTGGGGGGGCGCATCACGTCTGTATTGGCACTCAAGATTCAGAAGATACAAACAGTATACAGAATTAACATTGTTTTTTTTTTTGGAAATGAGGCTGTTTGGTGTGTAAAGAAGGGATATTTGTGTCACAAGTTGTGTAAAGAACCTTGGAATACACCACCCCAAAAGCTAGCTCAAAAGGTGGGACAACACTATCGTATTGCATGAGCATCTTTCCCTAAAGATAGAATTAAAGAACATGGTTTTATCAATATCCAACTAAATGTCAGCTGCATGTATGCTATATTTACGATCCAAGTTTTGCTGTTTAATTCTGTATATTTCCATGGATTTTTATTTGGTGAAACCTATAATTGAACTTAAACTATAGTTCAGCCGCGAAGATTCATATCTGTGATCTCGTCTATACCACATCAACTCACTCCCCCACTTGTCTCCAACTGAAATCATAAGTCTGTTAAAATTTACTTTCTTAATTTATAATCATTTATTATAATTTCGTACTTTATACACCAATCACTCTAGAAAAAATATAAAATTTAGTTGACATTTTTAGAACTAATACCACGTATTAGATGCTTCCTCTTTTCCAAGCTTATCTTTTTGACTATGTATGCTACGATGTAAACGTCGTTGTAAACAGTAGGTTAGAGGACGAGGGAAAATTTTGTATCACTAACCACCACGGTAACAAGAGCGACCATTTCAAATCTTGCTAACAAATGTTTTGTTTCAAAAATGTTACCTCATTGAGTTGATGCCAGAAAATTAAATAGATAAAAATAAGAGTATATTCGATATTTTCTAATATTATTTTTGGAAAAAATTTAAAGAATTAATCATGTTATAAAAATAAGATTTAATCTCAAAATTCACCCTAAATCAGACTATTCACAAGAGGATAAATCGATTGAAATATTTAAAAAATAATAATAATCTACGTAGCAATCCGAAATTATAACGTGGTTTCCGTACAACTTGTATTTCAAAAATAAAAGTGTGTTTGAAGATTCTTAACATTGAAATTCGTGAGTTATATTTGAATTTCTACAACATGTTGTAATCAATTAGGCCACCTAGGCACTTACATGACTCTTTTGAGGGCTTTTTCACCCTTATGACCCTTCATTAATAATTAATTACCCAATTTTCCTTCATTTAAAACTATTTCGAAAATTTAACCTCCCCAACAAACATAACACCAATCTGCTCATGTTTGACCGTTGACCACGAAGCCTACCCGAGTACACCCTTACATACCCGGGTATATTTTGAAAATTTTTATCTACCCGGGTAGGTAGGGGTGTACCCGGGTAGAGTTCTTGAATCTGAGAAAGTGGTTGAATTATTTACCCGGGTAGGGAGGAGTGTACCCGGGTAAACATCGACGGTAGGGTTTTTAAATACCCCACCAGTCCCCATTTCGAAAACCCACAAAAGGGGTACCCGAGTAGAGCTGCTGGAGGTGTGTCTTCTTGAGCGATTTCAGGCATAATCTTGCACCAATTCGTCTTGTTTCTGATCATCATTCGCGGACCTTGCAACCTCTCTGCCTTCTACCGATTGAAATCGATCAAAGGTGCATTTTTTTTCGTTTTTTTCAATTATGTTCTGATTTCTGTTCTGATTCATTGTATTTTCGTTTATATCATTTGATTCTGTCCGAATTATTTTATCAATTTGTATGTCATACGCTTACCCTAACCCTAACCCTAACCCTAACATGTATGTATCTAATTTCTGATTTTGGTTATTTTTTCAATTTAATAGTGTGCCGCAATGACCTCCAGACGCGTTTCAAAGCTGCCAGTGACCCATTCCGAGAGAAGAACCAAGAGTCGTCACGATGGGTCGTCATCTTCTCAGCCCCAGGCTGCTTCGAGTCAGGCTCCGGACTTGACGTTCGGATATTTGTTTGAGGATGACATACTTGCACACGAGAAGTTCGTGAAGTTTTTCATGAGCCGGAAGATTTACGAACCGAAATAACTGGATTCGGCATTCTTCAACCTAGAGCGTTTCGACATTTTTCCGCTTCTTGAGGAGACACATTTACTTCACCTGGCGGAGATGTGGTGCCCATACTCGGAGGTTATGGTAAGAGCCTTCTACCATAACCTTGGCTACTCGCAAGGCGAGCTGACTTCCCGTGTCTGCGGGATTGATATCTTCATGACTGCTCTTATCTGGACGGAGCTACTGGGGTTCGATTTTGATGGTGTCACAGGAACAGCACTATATGATGGAGACAGCCATCATATATTTGGTGATTATAACCGGGAGGCCATTGTTACAGAGACTAGGAGGGCAGACGCTGAGCTCGGTCATTTTGCTCATTATCCTGTGAGCAACTTGTCAGTTTCTGCTCGCATTCTTCATTATGTGGTGACACATATTATTTTCCAGCGCCCGCATAATCACTCGAAGGTGCTGGAAGGGGACTTTGTCATCCTGTGGGCCCTCCTTCACAGTCAGCAGGTGAACTGGAGGCATTATATATGCATACTGATGTGGAAGGCAGCCAAGTCAAAGAAGGCTGAATTGCCTTTTGCATTCCTGGTGCAGAAGATTCTGCATAGATTTGGAGTGCCTATGGCAACAGAGACCTTGAAGACCGCCAGAGGCTGGAATGCTATATTTGGTGAGAGGCTCCTGAAGCAGTGTGGGATCGTGCCGAACAGAGCGGGTATCTGGACGTGGAAGAAGGCACCAGAACCACCTGAGATCCCAGTCCACCACGATGCTGAGATGGAGGATGCACCTGCAGGTGATGTGTTTGTGTTTATGAGTTTATGCATTTTTGTGTTGTTTATTTTTTAATGTGGTATTTATAAGATGTGCTTTTCATGGTTTATGATGTAGGCCTTGATGATGATGACGATGATGATGGCGTTGCTGAGGTTGATGTCAGACAGACATGTCCCACCCGCAGTCGGCGACCACCAGCTCCTCCTGAGGGTGGATGGACACTTGATCATGTCATGGCATCCATATATGATCTGACTACTGACTTTAGAGGATATAGACAGAGCATGAGCAAGTGGCGGAACCAGATGGACACAAGGGTTGCACGGTTGGACACAAGGGTTACACGCTTGGAGGGTTTAATTGGCGAGGGTGCCCATACTCAGGAGGAGGAGGAGGAGGATGATGACAATGGGGACGACACGCAATCGGATGATGAGAATGTGGAGGACACGCAATCAGATTAGTGTGTCCATAGGGTTTCATATCATTGATTTAGTTGGCAAGGGTGACCATTTTGGATGTAATGTAGTCATTTTGATTCATTTAGGAACTTTACCTACATTGCATGGATCTTTTTGTACTGGATGTTCAAAATTTGAATGAATGAAATTTTCGTTTTGCGCACGTCATAATTTAGCATTTTGGTACATTTGAATGATCTTTTTGTTCAACATTGATTGGCGCACATCATGATTCCGGCATCCTATTTCTACGAAATCAATCCACCCCCAAGTCATATTGTATGTAGGTATTACACAACAATTCAAAAAATGCTAAAAAAAATTGCCAAAACAGCATCTGGAGGTGCATTACCAACTAGTCTACCTGGGTACCACGAACTGGTGTACCCGGGTAGGTTGTATTCGGGTATATCATTACGAGTTACCCGGGTAGACCAGTTGATTATGCAGCAGCAGGTGCTGTTCAATCCATTTTTTTGCATCTTTTGAATTGATGTGTAATACAATAACCTTAACTGAGGAGGCCCAACAACGGATGGAATCAACAATTCATTGCTAATAGGAAACCAGTGTGCAGCATATACTTTAGCAATGGTTGGGATTTTGAAAACATGATCCACATAATCATAATGGTTTAACTTGGCTACCTTGCAAACTGCTAATACATGACTGCAGGGATACCTCCTTGCTGTAAACCTACCACACTGACATGTACGATTGATTAAGTCCACTCTCATGGTGTCAC